TATATTCATATACAGGATGGTCAGAATCATACATATACTTTTATCATACTCTTTCATGCCTCGATTCAAATTTTATTTTTTAAAGTGGGCTGCCTAAATGTAACAGAATCTTGGGATGTTCACAAAATGAGGAAATCCCGTTGAAAGGAAATACAATTGAGATTTTCTTATTGTTTATTGAGAATGCAAAGGGTAGTATCCTGACAGCAGGATAAATGATTGGTACAAACTTAATAAAATTTATTAAAGAATCCAGGATCTAGGTATAAGTGTCTGTGTCTTGGCAACTATTAATTGTGCATTATTCGAACAAATATCACTTGGGCATAAAGAAGGCTAAAATTTCTTCTCATTTTTGAAAAAGAAATTGTGATACTTTTTTAATTTACTACTTGAAAAATACATCATTTTGATGCCTCTTATTTGAGTAAGGATATATTTCTGAACTGTTTCATTAACTCTGAAATAATAGATAATTTAAGAACATTTATTAAACAATCTCTGCCATTTAATAATTCAGGAAATCAGATTATTAATAAGTAAATAGGGCCAACCTAACAATGTAGTCATCAGTTGAGAATGTATGAATAATTCTAATATAGCTGCCATCTATCAATGAAAGCAAACTATAATACATAGATTCTATTGTTCAATACAAAAACCAGCAACTTCAGAGCCATACGTGGGGTCACTTTTCCAGTTTCCCAAGAGCCAAAAAGAGCACATTTTCTTAAAAATGGAACCCTAAATCATTATCTCAAGGATAATGATTTTGATTTGATAATGTTGAAACGTGTGTGTTCACAGAAAAATTGAAGTCAATCTGAATTCTACTTTTCTAACTATTGCAAACGATTAAAAGAGTAACAATTGTTACTGATATTGCTGATCACATCACTCAAATGTTAGAGCCTATTTAACATTCGAACATGACTGTATTCACGCCTTCTATAAACTGTAAACAAAGTCAACATTCCACCCAGGGTATATTCGTGAAGAATACCCCTGGTAATACATGTAGTGTGTGACGTAATAACGGCGGGTCATAGTAATGGTGGACCATAATGAATATTCGAAACATTTTGGTGTTTCATGTTTGAATCGTAATATAGACCTCAGAGCAGGGGTAATATCACCGAATACACCCCTTGGGCTAGGCACAAAAGCTTTCAAACCCCTCACTCCCTTCGGTCGTTTGGGGTACAGAAAATGTTTGTGCCTAGCCCTGCCGGGTGTATTCAACAATATTACCCTTGCTCTTCGGTCTATATTTCTTGATATGTCACCACTTTTTGAAGGTGGCATGCTAAATCATAGAAGTTCGTAGCATCCTGCTGATAAAAATAAAAGTACAAAATTTGAGTACAATGTGTAATTATCGAAATTAACACTTAATCATATGATCTAACAACTATAATGAATTAATGGATGATGAATCAGTTCCAATAAAAGTGAATTATTACTTGTTAGCACTTAATGACAATTGTCAAGTCACATACTTAACACATTTGTGACAGGAAATTAAAAATGTAGAAAGACACCATTGATCTACAAGATAGAGTGGCCTAAATATGCAACAAAGATGTTTTTGATAACTTTAGTTCTAGCTTTTACTTTTTCTGTTATGTTGTAGGCCATCACCAACTGATAACAACTATGGGGTGAAGAAACACCCACAAGTCGAGAAACGAAAGTACTCATATAAAGTGATGACACCATACTTGTCCTTTTCTGTAGAACAGAGATAATCACCATGACATCATCATGGCTCAACAGCCTCTAAAATGGCACTAAAACTTCATTCTAATCCTAATTTAGCCATGGTCTTTAGAAAGCCCATGTTTTAACTTACCCAGTCTCATAATGGGGCTATGAGGCAGCATGCTATTCTGGTTGAAGTCTTTGAAGTTATTCCTGTTCTTTGATTTAAACAATGAAAACATAATATATGTTCCTGCTGTTTATCATAATGAAAACTTTAACTGAAATGCTAACAATTGTAGAATTGTATATCCATGTGGCAGGAGGTTCTAAGTGGTGAAAGCTCATACTTTACTATTTTACGAGTCAGAATGACCTCTCACTTCCTCTGTAAAAGGGGAACAAAAACCACATGGAGGACTTCCTTGTTTAAAGTTCAGTCATTTTTTTAATTCATGTACTAAATCAGTCAATGTTTGACGAATGTAGATTCTCTAAATTGGGAATTGTATAAATTATCATGAGTAATTCAAAAATTATCTATAGAGTCTATAATTTGTAAAGTTAGTTGATAAGTTGATCCTTCAAGTTTATTGGGACTTGTGATCTATCAGATGAGGATCATCTATCTAATATTCAACCATTTCTTTTCTTACAGAGTGACCCCAAAAAACAGAACCACAGACCTTTGAATTAACTGATGTTTTTTTGGGGCACCCTGTATAATAGACAATGTTTTACAATGATGGAGAGGCTGTGTTTTTTAATTAATGGGTTGCATTTACTAATGCTACTTTTGAGACTAGAGATTAGTGATTTAGAGGGAAGCTCATATTTTTCAAAGAAGACAATGATGTACTTTGGAACCTATTTCCTGGGATGACAGACTGACCCCTAGTTACATGCCATCCTGTAAATTAGTCAAACCTGTGCCAGAGATCACGGCTATAGCAGCATTTACATTAGAATAATCCATATGATTGAAATTCATAAAAGTAGCTCATACACAATATACATATGACATAGGACTTCAATACACTCCAACAGAAAAGTGGTGAGATATTAAATAAATTAACGACAAGTCAGTTAATCAGCATGGTTGCAATATTATCTGAATTCTATACCTAGACACAAGTCCACTTACTTAATGACTCTTCAGTATGAATACTTATGTTGTCCAAGAATGAAGGAGGTATAGATGCAAAGAAGCAATTCAGGTATTGATCCAATGTATCCGCCTCTGAATCCAATTTTGACTTCAAATACAGGAGAAATGTGAGCCTAACCTATCTGTATCAGCATTTTTCAATCGTAAAGCTTATCTTATGCATAAAGCCCATATGCTGTTTTAATGGGGTAAAGCTTATTTTGTATAAAGCCCATGTGCTTGCATAAAGCCCATGTGCTGTTTTATTGGGGTAAAGCTTATCTTGCATAAAGCCCATGTGCTGTTTTATTGGGGTAAAGCTTATTTTGTATAAAGCCCATGTGCTGTTTTATTTGGGTAAAGCTAATCTTGCATAAAGCTCATGTGCTGTTTTATTGGGGTAAAGCTTATTTTGTATAAAGCCCATGTGCTGTTTTATTGGGGTAAAGCTTATTTTGTAAGCTCATGTGCTGTTTTAATAGGGTAAAGCTTATTTTGCATAAAGCCCATGTGCTGTTTTAATGGGGTAAAGCATGCATATTTCCAATTCATTTCAATTTTCATTAGAAATCACAACAAGGCATTAACATGCAAATTGTTACCACCTGCCATTTGTTATAGATGCCAACCACCAAACATCAACTGCCAAACACCAACCACTGAATACCAACTTTCAAATGCCGACTGCCATCCACAAAAAAAAAAGTTGGGACACTATAACAATATGGTGGTGACTTAGAAATACAGAACAGCAGTGGAATTTACGAAGGTTTGTCTCACAAATCAAAATAACACAGTTTCCTTAAGTACATATCTCACTAGTTACAAGTAATTGAAAATAATTGGATTTTGGACCTAAATCAAATGAACTGTTCATTCTGTAATATCACTGATTAGAATATCTGTTTATGTTCAGTATTATCAAATATTTGCTAACAGATTTGAAGGGATTCAACACAGTAATGTGATCTATTGTAGAATAATATGATTATTAATAGAGTAGTACTCTTGAGAATATATCACATTCACAGAAGGGGCATAATTAGTCTATTTCACATTCCAAGAGTACTTCATCCAAGGACCAACAACCACATGGCTATCTATTTCTCTAGGTATAATTTTTGTGATTATTGCTTATTGTAAAACGGATGCATATTTTGAAGGATAGTACTCACTGTTGAATGTTGATATACCAAAGCTAATGACTAAGAACAGAGTAGGAAATATTTTAGCCTACGTATTTATCTTACATGTCCATTAATTAATTGACCACTTAACACAAGATAACAACAAAACCTGATCCTAAGTTTATTACACAGTGGCAGTGTAACTCTGGTATAAATAAACTAAGATATATTTTATTTAGTTTCTTGCTGATGGATAGAATCCAGGTTAATATAAACCAGAAATACTGGGTAGTAAATAAGATAAACTAAAAATGATAACTCAATAAAACATTGAATATCAATGGTTTATAACCTGAAGAATGTAAGACATGGACAATTAAGATAAAACAATTAGATAACACCCAAGAACTATGTCTTTGTATTTATTTAGACTGAAACTCCAAACCTAAATCTGTGTTCCTCTATCTAACCAAAAATATATAAATACTGTACTTGTATATATAATTACATAATATATTAAATATTAGTTGAAATAGGCTGCATATAATTACTTCTGGAATAACTTAGTCTGATTTCAAAAACATCAATATCAGTAAAAGGTTTAAGAAATAGTTTAGCAAGACATGCATTGAGAAATATATCATATTATACTTGGCACTAGTCTTGCTCATACAAGTACATACTTGTACATGTAAAAATTTAAGGTACCTGTACACGTAGTTGAACAGGTAAGTGGTTTTCCTGGAATTATGATGACAAGATTTATGTGGTGCATGCACCCAACCCAGACAGAGGGATGTACTCACACACATCAGCACAAGATGATATATAGCAGAAGTAAAGCAAGTATTTAAGCAAGGCATTAACATGCAAAATGTCACCACCTGCCAATTGTTACAGATGCAGAACTTTGAATGCTGACTGCTGAACACCAAACACAGAACACAAAAACGTTGGAGGCGATAACAATGTCACCACTTTTGGTGGTGACATAAATAAACATAGCGAGAAGAAAACATACTTACTTCTGCATCTCAAGCTTTGGGTAAATCCAATAAATTCACTACACTTATCACACCAAGTTGGGTTAGCAATCACGAGCGATTCAAAGTCATGTCCTTTGCCAAGTTCAATTTTCTGTGTACTATTGACACCTAATCCATCAAAATGAGACATTTCTATGTGATTCTCCTCTGAAGTTTGTATAACACCATTAGTTCCATTTTGTTTATGTTTTTCACGTTCAGATCTTGGACTAGATTTCCTTCGCCGTCTTTGTACTACTGCTCCAATATTTGCCATAAAAGCATCTTGTAACACATTTGTATAATGATCAACTTGTTCATTTATTTTTCTTTTGAAAGCATCAAAGACGTCATCAGAATCTGTTGCGTTATCTCTTTGTGACTTTGCAGTAGAACTAGTCGCATAGTTTGCCATCTGTCTTATCAAGAGATACTCAAGATAATCCGTGGCCATAAATGCTATCTCTCCTTGTCTTTGTTATCTTCTCATGATCCTCATTATAGTCAAACTGAAATATTAAATAAATCTAATTTTAACAATTACAGATATGATATTGATATGAAACATATTCGGGGAGATTTGAGACACCCATGCCTTATCCCAGCATTCCATTCAGAAAACTGTCATGAATTCATTAAAAATGAACTTCTAAAACTCAAGAAAACATCAAACTAATTTCCAGTCATGATTTAAATTTGATCAGATTTAATCCTTTTAGAGGCGATTATGTACTAGCTGCCTCTGATCTGTTGTAACTAAATGATGAAGTGCCGAAAACTAGATTTACCAAAATACCACATTAACCTCAGAAATATTCTATTGTTTCAAATTACTCAAAATATTAAATCGCTGAACTACAGTTGTAAATGCTCAGTGTTCAACAGTATCCCTAATTCAGGTAATGACATTCTGATATACTGCTCTGATATGTCCACCATTAATGTTCAGAGAATATTCTACTTGTACCATCTGGTACATATATGCAGATGATAACAGTGCTATCCACAGGATTTTTTTCTGAAATAAATCAGAAAATCTGTCAAAATATGCAAATTTTTCATGATTTTTCTCATTTTCAAGTGGGTGCAAATGAATTCTCAGGTGGATGCAAGCCTGATTTTAAAATCTCAAGTGGGTGCTGTGCCCGCTTGCTTTAATGATGTGGATATCACGGGATAAGGTGTCTCACTTACCCCTTTACTTTGATGAAAAAATCATCTACATACTTTGGTATCATAAAGCTGGCTATTGTTTGATGTGGGGCAAGTAGTATGGAGAAATAATATGGTTACAATAATACACTTTATGTCTTAACTAAAAGACTTTACACGTGGTCAGCTGGATATCTTAAATTTTTCCAACCACATATCTCGAAGCTTTAATTTCAAAATATTGATGGTGGTGGAAAAATTAAATGAATTTTTCATTTTACCTTATCCCTCTGCTTAAATAATATTTTTCATTGAATGGATTTCTTTTTCTCACATACCGTTCATTATATAAATTGGTGAGAAAAGCTTAGTAAAATGGAAATTTGTGGAAAGCACTGTAAGGAGACTAAATAGAATATCTTGAAGGGTACTAAGCTTGGAGAAAACACTTTTTGTTGATTTTGAAGTCATGCCTGCACTTCACAGTTCAAAATCAACTTCTGTAATAATTTGACACCACCTTCTAATTTACCTCACTGACCTTTTACTGTTTCTCTTAACATATTCTCTCATAATCAAAAATAAGGTTGATGAGCAGGGAAATTCTAAAGGGAATTTCAGTCACAAAAAATAAAGAGTGACAACTTACACTTCCTCTGAGTATAATGGTATTGGGTTGATGAAAAATCTCTTGTCGTTACATACAGTGCTCACCATAAATAAATGATTGATTTTCTATCACCATTCCCAGACCATGGTGATTTGAGACTTCATACTTTCCAATAATGTCTAGATACACATTTCTTAAGTTTTGTTTATTTTAAATTTTGAATACTCTGTATGGTCACTTGAAAATTCTATTCTCTTTTAACATGGGAAACCCTCACTCTAGATCTAGCAAATCCAGGTTTCATTTATTTATGGTGAGCACTGTACATCGTAAAACGTGAGTAATCTGTAATTGTTTTGATAAGAATTCAACAATGCTTAAAACATCTTCCATGCACAATAATTAGAAGGCTATTTATGAGGCTCGATGGATAAAAAATGTCCAGAATAAGATCCTGTGAATTTGATGAGTCGCTCTCAAATAATCTAATCCAATCTGAAATATAGTATCAAATCCTATCTTTGGTCAACATCTTTTCTATGTCCGACTTTAATAAAGACCCAACTCCCACATGTGCACCTGTGCCTTGGCGTACGAGAAAATTAAAAAACAGTAAAACAAACATGAATGAATCTGATATTTTTAAAACTGCAGTTTCAGGGCTTGATTATTACAGTTTCCATCAAAATCAGTTGTATTGCTTGGGGAATGGCATGTAAACAAGTACGTTTTGTACAAAACTGCGATTCAATAGGTTTAGTAAGCAAAATGTTGACATATTTAGAGACAAAAACTCACTCACCAAAATTACAAATTCACTTCCGGTTCCACTTATACACAGTCTGTAATTTTGATTAGTGTATACTTTGATTTTCAAATCATACTGAATGCATGAAAACAAGTAATTTGTTTAAATGGAATCAATTTTATGAAAAGAATTTAACATTTTGTAGAAATACTGGGAAAATCATTGTTTTAAATGGTAAAATTTGGAATGTGTAAGTTGTTGTGGCGGGAAACTCATTTTGAACTAAAAATTGAGAAGTTGTATTCCTGCTCAGTTTGATAATCTACACGTACACTGGCACTTTTAAGAGTTTGTCGGGTGCTCCAAAATAAAGACATGGGTAAGTTTTGTCTCCAAGATAAGAAATGACCTCTCTCGGCCTACCATCTAGAGTTGAATGCCCAGTGAAAAAACAGAATCATTCCAAACATCAGTGAAATTTCTAGCTCTCAGCAATGGCAGATAGGCCTAATTTTGAGGTGTCCAAAGTTTGGTGATAATGTTATGTTAGGTGTTCCCAAGTTGATAGTCCTGAGGACAAAGACTGGTGTTGGCAGTTTGTTTATTATGACCTCTAGATCTAACAGTATTTCCTCCAATTTGGATTCTCTCAGTCAGCACATGTCCTTAAACCTTTTGAGACACGGTAAAATGACTTTCTCCACATTGTGCCAAGAACTGCCTTATTAGAGGTTCCATGGGTAAGCAATATGATGTATATAATTTTATGCTTGACACCATGTGCAGTTGTATCTGCTGGACATTTACCATAGTCATGAAGAAGTTCAACGAAGATGTAAGTAAAACAGCTGATTGTTTCTAAACCTTTTTAATTTAGAGAACGAACTGATGCTCAAAAGCTACAATCAAAATGATGACAAGCAGGAGTCAACACCAACATCTTCAAAGAAAAAGCGAGTAAAACGTGCTAAAGATCCTAATGCTCCTAAACGCCCAACTACCTCATATTTCTATTTTCTTCAACAGTCTAGAGCTGAAATGAAAGAGAGGGGTGAAAATACAACTAAGGTATGTCTTAATCAATCAAGACTTTGATTAAAATCAGATTCATGTAAAACTGGAAGCAATTTTTAATTAAATATTAAGATTATTTTAAATGAAGGCTACGTATTTTCTGATTATGAAGACATGTATCTTTTAGATCCATTCAATTTCTCAAAGAGAAGTTTTAGACAATGATAATAAACTCAATTTGACTCATATTTACCTGAGACTAACATAAAATATGTAAGCCTCAGTATTTACCAAGGAATCAACTCATCAACATACCCTTTCATATATTTTGCCCTCAAAAAGGGGAGGGCCATTAGATAACAATTTTGTAAAATGTTGATTGTCTGACAAAAGATGGATGAAGAAAAACCTCACAAATGTAAAATATATGTTTATTTCCCTATTTTCATTTTGGTGAGTATTAAGGCCTTCAACTAAACTAAAATTAATTTTGTTTTTTCACATCTAGTTTAGCCAATGATCCCTTAAAATTATCAATTGAATGTACTACAGCTCGGTACAGTTGAACTAATAACTTAATTACCTACTGAAGGTTACTGAAGTTACAAAGATCAGCACTGAGAAATGGCGCCAGATGACAGCAGAAGATAAACAACCATTTGAAGAAAAAGCAAAGGCTGACAGAGAGAGGTTTGCTGTTGAGGTTAGAATAATTTTTATTTTACACTAAAAAAATTAGGCCACCTTATTCTGAGTCATTTTCAACCTCTTTAAATCAGGCAACTTTACTTGTAACTTCTAAAGTACTCCTTCAATAAACGTAACCTGAAATTGAGCTTATTTAACTAAGCTCAGGTTAAATTAAGTCATTTATCTTTGTTCACATAAATTTTGGCATTTTAACATAGACATAGCCACTTCTAACCTGTAAATACAGTAGAACCTGTGTAAGTGGAACACCCTCCGTTCATCCAAAAAGCATTCCACTTTGGAGGTGTTCCAGTTACAGAGGTTTTGGATTTGCGGTGATTTAAAGAACACACAAGATCAAATATATAGTTGTTTATATACACTTATTTACATTGTTTTAATAGCATACTGTGCATACCAATCATTTTGATTTATTTACACAGAGTGATCACTACAGTTATATACAACAATTTGTTCAAGCCTTAAAAAAGTATTTTAAAGATGTCTGCCTTGATGTTGTTCACTTCTTCTTGGCGATTGCTCCAAGGACGGTGTCTTCCACTCCCAGCATTACGTCATGCTCCTTGGGTCCAATGGAGAAGGTGTGGTCTTTCAGGACTTGGAGTGCATTGAGGACATCAGAGGTGCTGTGAGATTTAGGAACAGGGATACCATTCTCATGCTCGGGTTCATCCACTGGTGCGCTGTCAGTATGTCTCATGTCGTTGATGAAGTTTTCAGCCCATTGGTCATCATTATTGTGCGCATGGGGACTCTCTCCACTCTCCAACTCCAGGTACTCTTCTGCTGTCAGTTGTTGGCCAATCTCTGGAGCTGTGGCAGTGATGAGAAACTGAAGATCAGCCTCCATCTCATCCTCGGTGAAGCCTTCGAAGTCTGCAACTTCATGACCTGCACAAGTGAAGCAACGCTGAATAGTCTCTGTGGTGATTTTTTTCCACGCGCTCGCCATCCAGAAGACAGCATCCGGGATTTACTACCCGGGTACCGGGTAGTAAATCCTCTATGCTGTGTTCAAACTTGGTACCCGGTACCCATTCGAAAAAACCGGGTACCCAAAAAACGAAAAATACGAATATATATAATAATTAGATCATTAAAAAACGTGTAAGATTTGTTTCAAATTTACAAAAATGTATGTAACTTCCTTCAAAATTGAGCTACCAAGTTTGAACCCAGCATGGAGGATTTACTACCCGGTTCCTGGTACCCGGTTTTTTCTACAAACCCCAGCATCCTTCACAGTAATTGCCTTGGTGAGCTCACTGGCACTGTTGTAGGTTTCCATCACAGCCGTGCCAGGATATGACGTATAAGTCTCTTCCGGTAGTGGCCCTGAAGCTGTGGATGATCCCTTGATCAATTGCTTGGATGTGTGATGTGCAGTTTGGAGGCAGGAATAATTACGGATGTGGGACAGGTTCATCGCTGGGTGACTGAGTGTTCCGGTCTTGAGCTGCCATCTTGCTATTGAGCTTCTGGCACCATGACTTGAAAATCGCATGCCTTCCTGCTGTGTTGCCAGTCCACAGGCAGTAGTCCCTTGTCTTGATTCTTGAAGCTTGTCTGTGCCTGTAGAGTTGGAGCTGACAAAGGCGCTAAGTCTGTCCTTGGATATCTTGACCCCATGATAGCCATCCCCAGTGGTGACGGATGATTTGGCATTATAAATATTGTCTGGGCTGTACTGTTCTATTCAGTTATGTACTGCATATTACATTGATTTTAATAAAAAAAGAAAAAGACACCATCTAAACGTAAGTCTGTAAAGCACACCCATTTTGCCCTATGTTTGTTTCAGTTTTCTGCTTACAAAGAGACAGACGGCTATAAGAGTTTCAACTTCAAGAACAACTCCAAGCGACAGAGAGATCCTGACAAGCCAAAGAAACCTCTTGGGGCATTCTTCCTCTTCATGAAAGACTTCAGAGAGACACCAGAGTCAAAAGATTTAGCCTTTACTGATATACCAAAGAGGGGTCAGTATGCTTTTGTTCTTAAATAGTAGCTAATAGGGATGTCACAGTTTCCCGATATTGTCCCGTCCCTTGTCCCTTGTTCAGGATATACTATTTCTCCTGTATATGACCCTAAAACTTCCCAAATGCACGATAAATATGATCTAAACTAGAATTTTCTGCAGGATTACGACGCTCAAAAGATCCGCACTGCATGATTGCATAATTGGAAGGAACTGTTTTAAACTTATTAACTATTTTATTGGTTATGTCCCATCCCGTCCCAAATATCCTGTTCCAAAATGGATAATTCCCGTCCCATCCCGAAATATTTTTGTCCTGTGACATCCCTAGTAGCTAATTACATAATAGAGTATTAAATGTTGGAAACAATGTTTCAAAACATGCCATGTTTCCATTTGCAGTCTTGCTTCAAATTCCCCCCTCCCCCTACTTCAACTTGTTAAAGGAGATAGGCCGATAGGGGGATACAGGGTTTTGAAGTAAGACTACTCTTTGGATTCCTATTCCTAAGATATCTCATCAAATATGGAAGTTTTGGAGATTTAGGATCCATAAATGTCCAAGTACATTAGAATTGAAAAAGTGGCACTTTTTCTAAGTTAGCCTATTCCATCTTGACTTCAGAAAACAAACATGATGGGGAATGTTGTCATGTAGCAAATATATTGTAAAATTGTGACAATTTTTAGAGAGCTACAGTACTCTCAACTTGAACTTGCCTCTCATTCTTGTTGTCTTATACAGTGAAATATGTAAAGTGGAACACCTCTACAAGTGGAACACCTCTGATAGTGGAACACTTTTGAGAGTCCCAAGACCAATTGACTCTATGTTAAATTAACCACAATAAGTGGAACACCTCTCAAGTGGAATATATTTTAGAGGTATCAATTTAGAGGTTCCACTGAGACAGGTTTTACTGTGCATTGTAAAATGAGAATTGTTGCAGGTGGTGAGATTTGGTCAGGGATGGAGGCGGATAAGAAGCAGGAGTACAAAGACAGGGCAGAGGAATTAAAAGAGGAGTACAACCAAAGATTGATAGAATATTCTGGGGTAACTTAATAATTTACTGTTACTCAACTTAATTTGGGGCTATTTAATTTAGGGAACTTTGCAAAAACTGAAAATTGGCGAAGATTGATTTGGTGAATTTAGCAAGAATAATAAATACCTGTAAAATTGGCAAATTTGACAGGGGTGAGCATGTTGTTAAGAGAATATAGAGTCAATGTTCATATTTTAACATAGCCACAAATGAAGATTCATTAATTTTACAGTATCTCACTACTAAAATCATAGCAAATTTATTATGTCACCACCAGAAGTGGTGAAATATTGGCATAGTCTCCAACTTTTTTGTGGACTGTGTTCGGCATCTGTAACAAATGGCAGGTGATGACATTTGCATGTTTATTGCTTGGGTTTCATATTGGTACTTAACATTCAAAACAGCCACCAGAATTGTAACTTTTACCAAAGTAATTCCATATATTCCTGCACCATCTAACCCATTTATACTATGTTATATTTCAGAAGAAGGCACGTCTAGAGCTTGGGGCAGGTGGGGATGCCGACTCTATTGAGGAATATACTGAAGACAGTGACTGAACCCCGTGAATGGTGAAGATACAACTCCCTTAATGCCAATATAATTGTGTATATTTGGAGTAAAAACCCTTCAGTATCACCAGGGTATCAGCTAATTGATATTGAGGACTAAACAACCAAATGTAAAGCTGAACATTTCCAGAGCTGGAGATCAAGATTAAATTGAAGCCCAAGCCCTGATGCACAGACTTATTCAATAGAGTTTGTCTCAAAAATGTCACTTATTTTTATATACTTCATCAATTTCCCTACCTACTAGACCACCCACCAACCCAATCACCCTTGTTGACAAATTCAACTTTCTGAAAGTGTCTAGTGTTGAAAAATATTTCAATAGTTTTGCTCTATTTAGTTTGTTGGAAATGATTACATTATTGCATTTCGTGCAAAACGTATGAGATGGGACTTTAATATAATGGTTCAAAAAGGATGTAATTATAGGAAAGAAATATTTAATCAGAATAGTAAATGATCACCTATATGATACAAGTAATATTTTGTATATCTTGACATTTATTGCTGTATGCCAAGTTGCCTGAGCAAATAATTATTGATTGGCAAACAAATAATTATTGATTGGCAAAGAAAATCCATTAACTACTAATATTACAAGTTATACATATCATTCAATAAGTAAAGCTAATTTTGCTCTAAAACTTTTATTTAGCAATATCTGTAGGTTCTTACACACAGACTTGCCAACCTAAAATGAAAAATTTACGGGAGATTTAAAAAAAATTGCGGAACTTTTACGGGAGTTTTTTTCAAAATCCGGTAGTTTTTGCGGGAGTTTTTTGAAAAAAAGCGGGAGTTTTTACGGGAGATTTTTGAAATTTTGAAAAAAAACGGGAGTTTTTACGGGAGATTTTGAAAAAAACGGGAGTTTTTGCGGGAGATTTTTTAAAAAAGGTATTTTTCTCGGTAAATTAAAAAATCGTGACTTTTTTACGGAAGATTTCAGAAAAAAACGGGAGTTTTTGCGGTAGGTTCTGAAAAAACGGGAGTTTTTAAGGTAGGTTTTAAAAAAACAGCAGTTTTTGCGGTAGATTTTTAAAAAACGGGAGTTTTTACGGTAGATTTCTGAAAAAACTGGAGTTTTTACGGTAGATTTCTGAAAAAAACGGGAGTTTTTTGCGGTAGATTTTGAAAAAACGGGAGTTTTTACGGTAGATTTCTGAAGAAACGGGAGATTTTACGGTAGATTTCGGAAAAAAACGTGATTTTTTATGGTAGATTTTGAAAAAAACGGGAGTTTTTACTTTAGATTTAGAAAAACGGGAGTTTTTAAGGTAGATTTTGAAAGAACGGGAGTTTTTACGGTAGATTTCGGTAAAAACGGGAGTTCTTACGGTAGGTTTCTGAAAAAACGGGTGTTTTTACGGTAAATTTTGAAAAAAACGTGAGTTTTTATGGTATATTTCTGAAAAAACGGGAGTTTTTACTTTAGATTTTGAAAAAATGGGAGATTTATGAGCATTAAATCCAGCGATTTAATTGGTTGAAATTATTAAGACGCATGCGCAGTTAATAAATTAATTAGAACTTATAATCTAAGATAGATGTCACTTACGTTCATTATTTCACAGCAGTCCCTACCCATAATGCGCCTTATATTGCGGGAATATTTTGTTTAGCGCCATATAAAAACAAAATGTATTCTCCCAACAGAAGTATGACAGAATATGAACTGGCCCCCGTTTGTGGACATTTGCTGTGCAAACTTATACCGAACTGATCGCAGAAAAGCAATTTGAATCATGGGAATGAAGTACTTTTAAGTTATTTATGAAAGTATCGATAGTGAACCATGGGAGCCAACCTTCTTGGAGTAAAAGAAAGAAGCGTGCCTGCAATAGTCAAGGTCACAAATTTATCAAATTCCCTTTAAATACGGTAGATTTCGACAGCAAAACGGGAGTTGTACCATGAATACGGGAGATTTTACGGGAGTTATACCAGAAAACGGGAGATTTTACGGGAGTTATACCAAGAATACGGGAGATTTTACGGGAGTTACTCTAGAATACGAGAGATTTCAGCAAAAATACGGGAGATTTTACGGCCATATTTTTTAAAAAAATTACGGGAGATTTTAGTAGAAATACGGTACGGGAGTTTACGGGAGTTTTTACGGGAGAAAAGGGTACGGGAGTTTGGTATTTTTTACGGAAAAACAAAAAATTTACGGGAGATTCCCGTAAAAAAACGGGAGGTTGGCAAGTCTGTTACACAGGAATAGCATCATTCATTTCACTAACTATCCTAAAAAGTACTAAAAAGGCTGAGAAATATTCATCTTTTTACAGGAACTCTGATCAATTTATTTTTTCCAATCAGTTCTAATGCTATTGACAATCAAAATTAATTTGTTATGATTTTTATCTTCACTTATTTTATGCTTCTTTTTAGGGCTTGAACATTTGGTACTTTTCTGATCATGTGTATCTCTTTTTCTGTCTGGCTCCTTCATCTGGAGACTACAAATCAGAGTCACTTTCTGTTGCACATCATTTAAAACCTTTGGGTCTTTTACGCTTCTTTTTTACTTATGATGTGAGATATCATAAAAAAGTAAAATTAGTTTTTGTAATTTGTGAGGTTACAATTTGCTCTGCTGAACTCGACTTTAGTTTATATGACAACTGCTACAAATCAGTATGGGCAGTGAAATGAATGATGCTACTCCTGTGTGAATTTGGCCTACAGATATTGCATAATAGAAGTTTTAGAGCAAAATAAGCCTTACTTATTGAACGACCTGTAATATGCTTTTGAGAGAGGGCCCAGTTTGGAATGTAATTACATGTAATTTCTATTCTAGTATTACATTTTAGACAAGGAAATTAGACTAAATACTGACCTGATAACTCGGAAAAAATTTCACAAGCTGTGTACATATTATATACTCTTAAATATAATTTAATTGCTGTATATTTTTAATATTGTAAATGTTGAAAGTGAACAATGTAAATATTTTGTTAAGAATGTTAATAAAAAATGTTGCTGTTAAAAGAAGTTTTATTTCGATACATAACAATGGAGATTTGTATTAAACATTTTACAATCAAACACTACCTTGAGGTGACATAAAATAACCATGGTAGCCAAAGACATGACCTTGAGGTGACATAATCATGACAGCCAATAACACTCTCTTAAGGTGACATAACCACGAGAGCCAAAAACACTATCTTGAGGTGACACAATAACCTTAAAAAAATATGACCTTGATCATGTGACATCATAATCATGACAGCCAAAAACACTACCAGTGATGTAATACCATGAAAGCCAAAAACACTTAATTGTGGTGACAAAATAACCATGAGCCATAAACATTGAGGTGACATGAGAACCAAAACACAACCTTAATGTGATATAATAAGCAGAGCTAAAACATTACCTTGAGGTGACATTATATCCGTGACAATGGTGACTTCTCTTTACATGATTAGTACAATAACGTCATTTCTAAGGGCGATATAGTGAAATATTGGACCAAGGGGCGAAGGTCCAATATTTCACTATATCGCTCGCAGAAATGACGTTATTAGTATTATTACCACCGTTAACGACCAGGACTGAAACAGTAAGAAAATCTTACGCATTGAACGATATCTAATTTCCCGGGGAAAATTGCCGGTCCAGAATATATTCTAGACCGGTCCATATGGACCAACACTATGACGTCACACATTTCTCAGGTCGATATAGTAAAATAAACGCCTTCTAAACTAGCACTAAAACCCCTAGAACTGGCCCGGCAAGGTGGTAATAATGTGTTTTGGACATAGGGGCTTTGATACATTTTGCTGCAAAAATTCCAAATAACACATTAACTCAAGATGTATATGTTTATTTTACAATGTATATAATAATACACAATTTACATGTATTAACATGACAACAGACTAGTTTAATGTTTATAAGATTACATACTGTATGTGCAGTATGTACTTGCTCTATTTGGTTACACAAGCTATACTGCTATATGTGGCTTAGTTCAATACGAGTCTTCACAAATTTTTTCTATTTCAAAAATACCAGAGATCCAGTAAACGCTGCTGGTACCTTGGCATGTTCTGACATCATTTGTTGCATTGTGTTCTGACATCATTTTTGGCATGTTCTGACATCGTGTGTATTATGCTATAGATTCTGGTACATCTACATTGTCATTTTTAATCTTCAAATACAGTAGGACCAAATAGAAGTACAGTAGACAATGGGTAGATACAAGTTGTTGAGCAGTGTACTGGTTCTATCAAAACCAACATTTCTTGTAACACAAATTGGAGTCATTTGCTGTAAACAGATTCATGACACTTCAATTTTTTTATCACTTGAATATCATAATGTCTCAGTCTTTTTAGTTCCAAATTGTCCATGTTGTCTTGGTCTGTTCAGCGCATGTTTCCTCCTAGATTCATACATGTATTTCTGGAAGTGGAGAAAACGCATTACAAAATGTATCAAAGGCCAATTTTGTCGCCATCTTGTTACAATTACAAATGTTTAATAATTTGATACAGATACCAATGCCAGACAGCAAACACAAAATGCTGGCCTTAAAAATGGTGGAAGTAACAATATGTCACCCACCACTTCTTATTGATAACTTAATAGAACAGTCAAAAATGGCAAATCAACTTGTGACGGATTGCAACACGTCTTACTGAAAAGATTAATGTATACTCTATATCAAAGAAAAAGAACAAACTTACTTGTCGAGTTTTAGGTATTCTGCCCTGTGCTTCTAACTTTGCTCTTGCTTCACGGCGTTTCAGGATACGATTGTATTGTTTGGCATTAACGAAAAAAGGTTGTTCCCCAGAATCTCCATCCTGGAACAATAAAATACAAAATGCAATATGACATTGTTACTTATGTAACAGTCAAACTGTTGTATTGTCACAGTAGAAACCCTAGTATGTAGTACATGTACTAGTTTATATTACAGTATTATGTATAATGTTGCAATTTGTTGCAGATGCACACAGAACATCACTCACAAAAATACTGACTTTAACCAGAACAACGGCAACGCCAAAGCGTAGCAAATCCCATCGAACAGAAATGGCTGGTATTTTTACAAACGAAATATATAGCAAACTTTAAAATGGTGGCCAATTTTCATGATGGCCGCTTTTAACCAAAAGTGTCATTAGACAGTGTGCCATGCTTAAAGTATTCACATACCAAATATGAACAAAATCGCTCCACTACTTTTCAAGTTACAGCAAAAATCGTAAAATAACGAGTAAAGTCCGAGTAAAATATGTTTAAATGGCAGCCATTTTTCAAAATGGCCACCTTCTACCAAAAGTGTCATTAGACAGTGTACCATGCTTATAGTATTCACATACCAAATATGAACAAAATCGCTCCACTACATTTCGAGTTATAGTAAAATATGTTAAAATGGCAGCCATTTTTCAAAATGGCCGCCTTCTACCAAAAGTGTCATGAGACAGTGTGCCATGCTTATAGTATTCACAAACCAAATATGAACAAAATCGCTCCACTACTTTTTGAGTTATAGTAAAATATGTTAAAATGGCCGCCTTCTACTAAAAATGTCATTAGACAGTGAGCCATGCTTATAGTATTCACATACCAAATATGAACAAAATCGCTCCACTACTTCTTGAGTTGCAGCAAAAATCGTAAAATAACGAGTAAAGGCCGTAATTTTTCAAGATGGCTGCCATGTGCTTCTTTAATGTCTACATTTCTAGCTTTATCAATGTCCTATATAATTTTTTACATTTAAAACATATTGCTATTACAGTTTTACATATTGAACCTAAATTACTGTAAAATCGGCACTAAAATGGCCGCCATTTTTAAATGAGTATCCATTTTGAAAATCGGCTTTCGAGCAGAAATTCTACCCCCATAGGATATACTGTACTCCGGGTATTGTTCGCGTGCGATTTAATTTCGCTTTGTTCGCGAATGTAGTAAAATCATGAACATTTATCGTCGCGAAATTTGTCATTCAAATCCCCGGAGATTTGAAACGGGACTTTTGATATGTTACGTTCGGTGTTTAACGTTTCGTCTAGTGTTGTTGGGCGATAATTCAAAAAGGCCTAAAATGTCTAACATTTTGAATTGGCATTAGGCCAACAAAGGCAAGAACTGTTGACAACAATGATATCCTACAAATTGAAGTTAAAAAAGCCATTCAAGAATATTCAAATAAATGCCCTAAACGTGGGAAATACAAACATTACTTGGATTCTGAACGGGCTAAAATAGCCAGATACGCATTGATTCACGGTAATCGGAAAAAAATTCCACTTGTGCAATTCGCGAAATGTCATCAACTCAAATCAGCGAAATTAAATAGCCGCGAAATTGCAATTTTGAAAAATCGCGAAATTTTATAGCGTCGAAATTTACCAGGAGTACAGTATACGTACGTACGTACGTACGTACGGACGGACGGACGGACGAACGGACGGACGGACGGACGGACGTCTTGTAATATATAGATACACTGTCCCACATGTTTTGTTAAAGAGCAACTGAAGCATACAATCTTTCCACAAAGATAAATTCAATCGGACGGACGGAGGTGTTCCTTAAATCCCTACGATGGGATAATGAAATCTCTAATTAATATTGAGTGCCATGATAATGAATTGAAGGAGGAAAAAATTTCTGTTTCGATTGTGTTATCTCACTTGTGATGAGGCTTTGTATAAAAAACCTCCCACCCACGTACCCTCGTACCCACGTACGTGGGTCCTGACCCAGTCTTTAAAGAGTTAAATCTTTAACATTTTTTAAACATTATTCTATCTCAATGTATGCTTAATTATGGATGAATTTATGTACCCATACGCCTTTATTTCTAGATCGGACATCTGTCTCGTCATAAAATAAAGCCGGCATTGCATAATGTTCATTTGAGCTATTTGAGGTATGAGGTTCCATATCCATCCGCCAAAAGGTATGACCCCTATATAGTCCATTTAAAAACCTGTAGTATTGTTCTAAATAACGCCATAGTTGGCTACTAGGGTACCTAGTATGCCACTATTTGGTATCAAAATAAAGAGGAGGAGTTCAACTTTCATTTGAATTACGAAAATAGCGATGTAGGTCAAAAATAGTTCCGACGTGAGCATGTTTACTACGCGTTTGCCCATCATCTCAGAATTGAGGAAATGGTAGCAAACGCGAGTTACAATAAATGGACGCTGATATCTCAAAAAGTAACCTGACTCCCTATAATTTGATGTAGATCAATCGAACCCCTGTATGAACAGGTACATTTTGATATATAACACTATGGGGGGTAAGCGTTTTAAAGTTGATCACGAACGCCATATGTGCAAAGTATTGATATGAATTTTCGAATTTGGTGTTGGATTACGGTACTCATACCCTAATCAGCACTGATGTGTTATACAGGTAAGACTGCCTGATCAACAAAAAACATTTCGACAAACATAAATCAAATAGCTCAAAAATAATGAACATTTATGCAATTCCGGCTTTATTTTATTTTACTAGAGAGATGTCAGACCTATAAATAAAGGCATATGGATGCATAAATTCATCTATAATTCAGGATAAACTGAGATTGAATAATGTTTTAAACATTTAAAAATTTAACTCTTTAAAGACTGGGTCAGGACCCACGTACGTGGGTACGAGGGTACGTGGGTAGGAGGTTTTTTATACAAAGCCCTTGTGATGAGCCTTCTAAATTATTCTTTGCTAAATTGCTTATCAAGGTTATGTGGGTGACTCTGCAGTTTTCATGTAGAATAACAAGCAAAAGTTAAGCAACAATCCCATATACTCACTGTGTGTCCTTGATTAGGAAGCTGATTCAGCGGTACAACCTGCATTCCTTGAGGGACCTGCAGAACCTGCATCTGTCCATTGGACCCAGCAACCATCTGTATGAACACAGATTTTATGTGCAATTTCAATGTAAGACAAGACATTAACATGCAAAATGTCACCACCTGCCATTTGTTACAGAAGCTGAACACCGACAACCAAACACCAACTGAGTGGGTGCTAAGATACGATTTTGTTAAATAAGCAATATGTGAATCATATTTACCCAATACTATTTCAAAAATTCACCCTTCAAACAGCTATTCTAGACAAAAGTACAAATGGACTGACAAAATATGTGAACAAACATTTGAGATGACCCCTAACTGAACTGGGATGATACCAACCTGTACATCTTGTAGACCACTAGTTAGGTGATGCTCAGTCATATCACAAGTAATAGCAGTTTCTGTCAGGAGTTTGGACCCATCATCACCTGCCTAAAAGCATAAAGCAAGAAGTTCATCTTTTAATTTAAGCTATGATTTAAGTTCTTTAACTGTTTCATGCTTTTGTGATCTTCAAATGTTGCCCCTGGTCTTTTCTGTAGAATTGATAATATACATGTATACATGTACTGTAATCATACTGATATGAAATGTCATCTTGACAGATATATTGTTTACCATGGCAGTACATTGGTCAAAAGAAATATAGTGAGTTCCATACAGGTGAATTATTTAATTGTTGATTTTATTTCTATTTTACTCTAAAATTACAAAAAGAAATGTCAGAATGAATGAAAAATCATGAAATTCTAAGAGGCAAAGAAAGTGCTGTAGCTTGGACCATTGAGGATGATTAGACAGACACGGCAAAAAAGAGACAAATAATTTGTTAAATTAATTACCTGGTTCTCTTTATCACTTGATTGCTGAAAAGTTTCACCTGCATCTGTCAGTTGATGATCTGCGTTTCCATGACAACCAGGATTACTGTTCACCTGTAAATATAGTACTCATGAGATGAAATAAATATCATAGTTGGAATAAATATAGAATCCCATACATATTTATTGGACGAATTTAAAAAATCATTAATCGTGTGAAATTAATACAAAATAAGAGTCAAACATTCAGTTAAACTAAGATATATTCTCATCTACTGAATAAGGTTTTATATGGTTTATTTCCAAAGGATCGTTTCAATATTTGTACTTAAATATATGCAGGAATCATTAATCAATCAAAAAATGTAAACGTTTACTATTTATCATACTGCAATAAAAGATTTATGTAAAATAATTATGCACTTCTGTGCAATGCACACAAGGGCTTGTTAATAAATATAGACTCTAGCAGATCTCAAAAGTGATAAGTGACAACAACACAGCTTGCATTGATCAACTTCCAAACTATCATATAATTTGACATCTAATATATGACTAATTGCCAGAAACATCCAGTAGAAAAGTTTATGTTAAATCCAATCATTCTAGATGACTTAACTAACTGTTTAAAATATAAAAGGCTTGACCAAAATAACTGGTGACTTTGATATTACTGGTTGAGCAAGTTTTGGTAAAAGTGAAAAAAGTATTTTTAAATAATCTGATTCATGCATTGGATACAGAAGACAATGAGGGTGTATATGCTGTTTTTTCTTGGATGTACCCTAACATCAGGGTATGAGAACACATCAGTTGTAATCCCAGGGGATGTCTATATAGCAGGCCTGTTTGACATACATGACAACTTACAAGGATCATGTGGCGAAATAAGAGTAAATGCGGGATTTCTCTATAGTGAAGCATTTATATTTGCTCTGGATAAAATCAACAGCAAAACCGGCTTATTTAAAAACCTTGGAGTAAGAATAGGTGGCCTTGGTTTTGACACATGTAGAAGTATCGATCGCACAGAAAAAATTCTTATGGATATCCAAGATGGGACTCTTGTGATTGAAGGTGTGACATTTGATGAAATTGGAGGTGTGATTGGTCCAAGTAGCAGTACATATAGCAGTAGAGTTCACCAGTTTTTAAAGCGGTATAATGTCACACAGATCAGCTATGCATCAACAAGTACAATGTTCAAAGACACAGAAAAATATCCATACTTCCTAACAACAGTTCCACTTGATGATAAACAAGCCAAAGCAATGACGAAGATGTTACATAATGTTAAATGGACCAATGTACTGACATTATCAGATAACTACACATATGGTTTAAATGGCGTTGAAGCCTTTAAAACAGAAGCTGAAAAACTTGGAATTTGTGTGGAGCAATCATTTGTACTGGATAAGGATGGCTCTCCAGCAGAGGTGGTTGACAAAATACTAAAAGCAACAAAAACACCTGTTGTCGTGACATTCACTGATTTTGATGATGCTATCAAAATTATGAGAGCATTTCATGAAACAGAAAATACATGTGGGGATTTTGTACTTATAGGAAGTGAAGCATGGGCTGACTCTGAAGCAATTGTAGAGGGAGTCGAACAGAGTTCAGATGGGCTAATCACTATGAACATATTGGGTAGTGAAATCCCAGGGTTTGTTGATGCAATGAAGCAGAAACGCTATGGCCAGTATCCAACCAATCCATACTTTGATGCATATTATGAAGATGTCATGAAATGTGGTGAGAGGTATCAAAATGAGTGCACTAATGATACTTCTATCACTCCTGATATGTATGAATTGGATATATTCGCAACACATGTTACTATAGCAACATATGCGATGGCTTTAGGTATTCATCAAGTTCTAACATCAGTTTGTGGGCAAGGATATTCAGGTATTTGTTCGGATTTTAAAATGACTGAACAGCGAGAGAAAATATTTCAATTTACAAAAGATATCAAGTTCAACGACATAACAGGAACTTCATTTGAATTTATTGGTAATCAAGGAAACCAAGGATATGAAATACTACGCTACCATGGTTACCCCCTCAATAGGAGAGGATATAAGAGGGTATGTTAGCCAAAATAGCCTTTATATAGATCCAAGTCTCCTTCTTACACAAGCATTGTTTTCAAATTATCTTTTAAATATCCAATGGGTAAAATGGACAACAATGTTATGTTTCAACAATTCTTTGCATCTATGGATCATCTTTGCTGCTGAATGAATATTGACCTTGTTTTTTGTTATCATTGAATTGACACACTAAATTGATTTAGATTTCTGTCATAGTGCCACCTTAAATAATGCATTGTCTACTCTTTTTCAGATTGGGAAATATTCCAATGAAGAGCTCCAATTTACTACATTAACAGCTAAGGGTCTCACAGACACATACTACAAGGACATTGTGTCTGAATGTTCATCAGGAGCAATCGTAACATCATCTTCCATAGTCTCTGCTACAGCATTATGTACTCTTTTAGCTATTTCACTAGGGCTATCATACAGTCAGTATTGACGCCTCTGGGTTCTATGTAATTGAGGTATTAACTTTGAAGAAGTGCCATTGTGCATGTGATTGATGTCGAGACAAAACTCTTTAGATTGTACACAGGCTCATAGCCAGCATTTACCAAGGAGGATTCAATTTTGAAATAATTCCATGGGGTCACATTTGACAACTATGACCCCAAAATTTCTTGAAAAGTGCTCAGAATGATGATGATTTTGAAAAACACTTTTGGCTAAAACCACCCCCCACTCCCCTGGCCATGGGCCTGGCTTATAACTGAATTCAATATTAACTCTTTACAGTCTGGATTTCTCTGAATTTGAACCTGTGGTCTGCTTTATTCAATAAAATGTGTTTTAAATAAGTATATTCTTTGGAAGATACCAGAGAAATGCTAGTTTTATTAGCATATGTGTACTCAATAGTAGACTGCAAAGAGTTCAACAGGGAAAAGGGAATAATATTTTAACTTCTTCGACCTTATCTTATCTACAAACACATTTAAAATGGAATAAGAAGTTATACTCTGATTATAACATATCAAACTTATACATCTTATGTCTAGTTATTAAAGTATTAGTTAACTTGTCCATGTACTATATCTTTTAATAAATATATATGAATCATATAAAACCAGTATCTATCTTTGTTTTTATTATGTGTGCACATTGTATTTCTTGGCATATTATCCAACATAAGAGATAGATCGATGTTCTGTAAATTGCTTTAATTTGGCAGGTAGGGCAAATTTTGGCTGCAATTTAATTTGACGGAATAACAGGAATTTTGTTTTCTCAACAAATTGAAGCAATTTCTAACTTACATGCATTGGCAGAACACTCACTGTTCCACTGTCAGATGAAGCAAACAGTCATATCCCTAAAACTTTAATTACAAAAGTAGAAAATGATTGCAAATTTTACCTGTGTACAGTTATGAACAATCATGAATTGTGTCATTTGCCATTTGTAATGAGACTAACTATTGAAGTTTGCTTCAACCTGTTGCGGAAGTTCACATACAACTATAAATATGTACCGAAAATGTGTTAACAACTCCTAATCTGAACGCTTTAAGCCGGTCCCAATGACATTCAGATTAGATAGGTTTTACTGTATTCAGAAATTTTGTTTTTGTATTTCAAGATTGAGACAAAGTTTCTTTAGTGGGACAAAGATAAGAGTGGGGCACTCTGCCAAAGTGTAAAAGCTTATTGAGCAGCCTGCTCCTAGTCATAAGGAAAAAGCAATGAAATATGAAAGTTCAGTGTATATCAAATACTATATGATATACGCAGAATGCACATGCAGAAAAGCTGAGAACTTACTTGGGAATCATGTCCTAGATGATCTTTGTTGCTGTTATGGTAGTCTGTAACTAATTCTACATGTATAGGTTGACCATCTTCACCATATAAAACCACGTTGGAGTTGTTGCCAGTGCTCATTTCCTGTGAAAAATATTTTACATAAATTGGAAAAACAAGACATTATGTCATATCACCATCACTGATGGGTTGTTTAACATTTATTGATCAGCAAGTTGGTAACAGAAACAAACTGGACAATTCAAAGAATTGTTAACATGAAGTACCTTTTTTGACATTTGGTATGGCAATGGACCCAAATTTTAGTATCTGGTATGACAATGCCCCCAAATTATGACTTTTGAGGTATGACAATGGTTTGATTTGTCCACTTTCTGGAATAAAAATGTTTGTCGAAAATATGTTAGGTATGGTATTGGTCTATGAGATTGTTGTGGATCATTTTCCACATAGATCTGCATTCTTGTCAGGGCCTTCTCCAATTTGAATAAGCTTTTTTCTACTTTGGATATGATATGGCATTGGTTCTACATTAAGACATTTGGTATGGCATTGATTTTACATCTGGAAAGTTGGTATGGCATGAGTCCTATATTTAGACATTTAGTATGGCTTTAGGGCATTATTTTGGTTGGTATGGAAAAACATTGAAATTTGACAGGTATGGGAATATATTGATAGGCTTAGCTGAGGGTTCAGCCTAAGACCCCCACCAAAATGTGTATACAGTGAACCCCCCGAGTTAATCATTTGAAAAAAGCTGGCCGTTGTGTTATAAATTTACAAAATATTTTAAAAATCGCCAGATAAATAAATCATGAATTAAAATGGAACTGGCTGGGCTCCTTGATGAGATATTGCATGATTTTGTCTAAAATTAAAATAAATGGCTCCAAGAAAAATGACGATATTCGAAAACTGGACGAAATGTCGTTATCGTCTGATATTAGTAACTGGCTGTAAATTCTAAGTTAGCGATCCAGAAGATGTAAACTAATACACTGATCACTTCATGTGTGTTTTGGAATTTTTGGTGAGGTAATAGCACGGATAGTGGGAAGTCCTCTGTATATTACTTATATTATTTCTCAGGTAACGCAGCTTCCATCCAAAATAAAAATAAAAAACATGTATTTTCAAAATAAATATTTGTCTAGTTTTCGTTAAACAATATCCTGAGACACATAGGGCCTGTAGAAAACACTAAACAGAAAAATAAAAAAAATATTCATACCTCCAAATCTGCTTTATTGGTCAGATAATGCACCAAATCATAATGGTTGTTCAAAATAAAAATTTAAGGGGATGGAGCGCCTATCTCGCGAGAATAAAGCAAGTCACGCAAAGGCGCGTGATTATTTTGACCAATCAAATAGCTTGAAATTTACCAAACCATTTCGTCCAGTGTTTCACACATGCGCAGTAGAAATTGTCAATTTACTGAGCGGAACTTTCAATGGCCTGGAGAAATTTTACTCACGAGAATTGATGATTACTGAACACATATAGGCATAAGAGGTGAGCGACCCAGTTATTTTTGCGTATAAATGTTTCAAGAATAGCATGATATCAAATAATCTGTACATTATGCTACGATTCATTCAAAAATTGAATCCAGAGGACAGGTGACCATATTTTTTTCATATTTTTTAAATTTTTAGTAGCATTACCTGGTGTATATACCTCCTAGATGGAGGACTTCCCACTATCCATGGGTAATAGATCTAAGACCAAAACTCGCAATTCAAATTGTGATGTGGAAAAATGGTGAATGTTTGATTTCAAATTTTATGATTACGACATGACCCGTATACAGCTGTTCAAACATGCAGTGATTTATCTTTGGACGAAGGCCACCATATAGTGGCCTTATAAGCCTACATGGCCTGTTGAAAATTCCACATGCTATCTATTGCAAGACTAACGCCTGGTGTAACCGTCACCATGTTATTCGGTGTTTTTTAAGTAGCGCAAGGATCCTGCCATGACCGTGGCAGTGTTATTTTGTAAGCCTGTCATGACCGTGACAATGCTATATTATATTGCAAGCCTGTCATGACCGTGGTAATGTTAAAGCCCCGTATGACCGTGACAATGGTTCCAAGGTCTGTCATGACCGGGACAATGCTATATTATATTGCAAGGCCTGTCATGACCGTGGTAATGTTAAAGCCCCGTATGACCGTGACAATGGTTGCGAGGCCTGTCATGACCGGGACAATGCTATATTATATTGCAAGGCCTGTAATGAATATGGTTGTAATGCCTGTCAAGACTGTGCTAATGCTGAAGCCTGATATGACCGTGACAATGCTTGCAAGGCCTGTCATGACCGTGACAATGCTTGCAAGGTCTGTCATGACCGTGACAATGCTATATTATATTACAAGGCCTGTCGTGACCGTGGTAATGCTATATTATATTGCAAGGCCTGTCATGACCGTGGTAATGTTAAAGCCCCGTATGACCGTGACAATGGTTGCAAGGCCTGTCATGACCGGGACAATGCTATATTATATTGCAAGGTCTGTCATGAATATGGTTGGAATGCCTGTCAAGACTGTGCTAATGCTGAAGCCTGATATGACCGTGACAATGCTTGCAAGGACTGTCATGACCGTGACAATGCTATATTATATTACAAGGCCTGTCGTGACCGTGGTAATGCTATATTATATTGCAAGGCCTGTCATGACTGTGACAATGCTTGTAAAGCCTGCCATGACCGTGACAATGTTATGTTATATTGCCGTATATATTATATGACCGTAATAAGGATTGAAAGGCCTGTCATGACCGTCAGAATGTTAAAGCCTGTCATGACTGTGGTAAGGTTAAAGCCTGTCATGACCGTGGTAAGGTTAAAGCCTGATATGACCGTGACAATAGTTGCAAGGCCTCTCATGACCGTGGTTGTATTTAAAGTAGCATGAGAACACCGTAATGACAATTTTTATTCGTGTTTAACTACTTAAAGATGTAAATAAAGACTACGAAAAATGTGTATTAATTTCACAACGAAAACCTAATTTTTACTCATAAATAATTTGCTAACAAACTATATCTCTACTCTCATTCAAGGAGCTTCGATTCGAAAGCATATACTTTCTATAATGATCAATAAATAAGATTTATCCATAAAAAATACAAACAGCAACGGGCGAACATAAAGGTCATTAATGTCATATTGTGACGATCCTTCAGATTACTTTGAGCATGGTAATGGAATTGCCTTGAAGGATTGTCACTTTGTTCAACTTTTTGCTCTTCACTTTATCAATTGTGCTTTTAGTTACTCAATATTTAAAGAGTTATAAAATAATTTAAATTCTGTAAAAGGGTAGTCAGTATTTCTACTTTGGCTATACTCTTAAAGTATGGTTAGAGTTTAATCATTTTACTCTATATTTATATTTATATTTATTATTTTTACTAACCTTCTCTTGTGTTTTTTAATGTAATATAATTTACAGGATTAATGTCAACATATATATTTTGTTCATAATAAGACTTTAATGTGAATGTTTTAGGCCCAGTTTCATGTTTAATGTTATGTTACAAACTTTTTAGAAAGGGCAGTTGTCTGGGTTTGTTTCAAAATCCAAAGTGAGGCTTATTAAGCTCGATTTAAGTAAATAAGCACGTTTTAAGTGAATTGTCTTTTTCTGTGCTTTTATGATTCGAATTCAAGCCAGCCAGACATGGAGAACAGTTTGTGGAATTTTAAACATTAAAATCGTCACTAAAATTGGATATTTATATTGCCTCAGATAAACCAACTTAGGTGTACGAGTTGGTAAAGGTAATTGACTTGATTGAATTGTATTTTTGCAGAGTTTTAGTCTTTAAAAAGAAGTGTCTGTACACTTGATTTTTTTTACTTAATTTTATTTAGTTGCCTTGTGAACATCCCATGTTTAAATTGTCCCAGGGATTGTTAAGGAACATTTGACAAGGTTAACGCAAAGTTACACGCAGAGTTTTTGTCTTAAAGAACCTATGTAACTTATTAACCACCGTCGAAAGCAAGTTCCCGGGGTTCCTTATGAAACCTTCTATACAAAATCCCCACAGGGAATCGTTTAGGAATATTTGACAAGGTGTACGAAAAGTTACGGTCTTTACGAACTTTATGTAACTTGCTCTAAACCAGAGTCAACTGCAAATTCCAGGGGTTCATAGACACCTCTATACGACATCCCCCCCATCCAGTTTGGGACTGTATTTAGTTTGTTCACAGGGTAAATTTCATTGATACACTAGAAATACTCCTTTGTATATTTGTATGTTAAATTCTGGGTAATTTAAAGGTGAAATCCCGGGCTTATGGGACCATTATCAAACAACTGATCATTGAAGTACTTTTAAGGGTCAAGGACATTTGAAGCTCAATTTAAGACTTTAAGCCCAGTTTAAGACTCTTTTAGATATTTTGACATTAAGTACCTTCGAGGTTCATTGGAAGTCACTTTTAAGACTAAAGCTTCTTTTGGAGCCTCTGTCCAGACATTTTGAAGTTCAGTACTTTTAAGGATCACGGTCATTCGAAGCCCATTTTCGGACTTAAGACACCCCTCCCTTCTAGTTTTCCATGTCTGGTCTAATTCTATGTCAACCACGTTCTATTATAGATACTAGAACATACTTTTAAAATACTTTTTCCCATTTGTTTGCCAATTGTACCATAGTCTGATAGTGGCAAAATGATGTCCCGCTTTTCATGTGAGTAGTATAGAGAGCTGATTTCAACCCCACCAGGGATTATATAAAATTGCACTGTTGAGTTACATTATTGGAAAAAGACACATTTTAGGCTTTATTGCAAATTGTTTAACTGAATTTCCATTAGCTGTGCTGTTTTATGCATGTTTGGTTTGAGAAATTATTTACTTGATATACCATCTCGACAGTACTGAATTGTGTAATGTTTGTGTAGATTAGTAAATAGAAATAGAGTCGTTTTTATACATTATATAAAAATCCACAGAATATCACTTCTTGTGTTCAATTGTTTATATATATGTTAGAAAATCCCCCCCCCCCCTCATTTTATCTGAAGTAGATTCTGGATTCAAAATAGATTCCTACTAAATTCCAGGTGACTTAAGTGATACTAACATTCAAG